GCCGAACTAGCAATCCTCAACAACTTTTTAAAGAATCAGCCGAACTAGCAATCCTCAACAACTTTTTAATTTTACACCAGGAGCTAAAGGTCTGTTACAGGAAATCAGATCCACAGCTATCAGCTGTACAAGGGTTCATACACCACTAGTTGGCAGTGTTGTGCATATGTTGTACATGAATTGTCAGCTAGTAAGTGTCAAATTGAACATGTTCATTAAAATTAGCTTCTGCTAATTATTCCATGATATAAGCGGTTTTAAAGTTGCGGTCCTAAATATTTTTCATAAGCGCTTTAGAAATTGCGGAGCTGATTTTTGGATTAGTGCAGCCCACCACTGGCTTCATTAATGTAGTTGTAATGTGTTGTGGTTCAACAACAAAAACACACAAAATGATACAAGTTGACTACAAAACTTAAACTAACAACCAAAAAGACACACATCAAAACGTCAACAAAAACAGAACAACAACAGGTTTTCATCAGGTCTGGTTCTGTTCTGGATCTGTCTCCTACAGCAGAGGTTCTCAAACTGGGGTCCCAGGACCCCCAGGGGTCCGCGAGCTGTGTCTTGGGGTCCTCAAAATTTTTCAATAAATTGTTAATTTGGTTTTTATTTTAAAAAATGTCTATGGGGAATAATGCACTACAGTAAAACAAACATACAAAACCAAACAAAAAAAATCACCATGGCATTTAGGGGTTCAAATAACAGTAAATTATTTTGAATTAACATCATGGTGTTTATGAGGGGGCTCCATGGAATTTTTTTTTCACCATTGTAAGCGGTCCCTAGAACCAAAAAGATTCAGAACCCCTGTCCTAAAGAACTCGTCCAACCACAGTCCACCTGCGTTGTGCTGTCCAACTGTCCCTGTGATGTTTGACCAACACACAGCTGGACTCTGTGGCCTGTTTCAGAACCAAACCAGGAGGATCAGATTCAGAGTCTCAGCTCAGGTGTGTAGGTTTGGATTCCAGGCTCACCTGCTCTCCAATGATGACGGGCTGGATTCCATAAAACGGTCTCATGGCCATGGAGGGGACAATGGGGGCCCCGTCCTCAGCAGGTTTGGGGGCGATGCAGATTCCTCCTGTCTCTGAGGAAAAATAAGTTGAACAAAATTAACCTTAAATTAGTAAAACTTTAAACACGATTAACAGAGTTACAGATGAACAAATTAAAAGGTAAATATCTGTGCAGTTAAAGCTGATAAAAGTAAAAGATGTTAAACCTGATCCAAATAAGTTTGAAGATAAACAGTTAAGATTGTAATGAGTTTAAATCTTAGCTTCTACACAGCTCTCTGCTGTAATTATCTTTATTTCCAATATTTCTTGAAGGTTTTCTGGTTTCCAGATTCGAGTGCAGCTGGCAGAGAGTTTAAAAACAACAACTCTCCATGTCGTGATTGTCGAGGAATTAGGTCAGAGTCTCAGTGATCCTCCTCGCCTTGTCCAGGAGGGTTTGGGGGGGTTAAGTGTGTGCAGGATTTGATCCTGATTCATTTTCCACAGAGCTGCAGATGTCCAGCTGCTAATCGGTCAAATTAGGGTTTAATCTTCAGTAAAGAGAGAATCAGACGGACTTGCAGTCGGATCAAGAATTAGAACCTCAAACAGAGGCAAATTGTCCTCAAAGAGCAAAAAACCTGCAACTGGATTTAACAAACTGTCCACAGAGACCCAAAACCTGGATCCCCACAGAGGATTTAACAAACCTCAAAGTGCTAAAGCCCAACAAAATCTCCCTGCTTCCAGAAGATTGAAACCATGTTACTGAGTGGAGTTTTTGTGTCTCTGGTTGTTTTGATCCTCACACAGAAGAATGAACTTTGACTGCAGAAGAAATCAAATGAAACAGTTTGTTTTTTGTTTCATTTATATGAAATCCACTGCAAAACAAACATTACAGTAAGTCAATGTGATTTCAGCTTAAATTCATTTAACATTAACAAGTCAAAAAGATTCTCCATCTGAAGCAAATGAAACTGTATAAAAGGCTTAGAACTCCATGTCTTCTGTGTTGTTTTTTTCTTGCTTGTAGAAAGTAACTTAACCAGCGGTGGGCAGTACTAATTCAAAATTTTGTTGCACAATTTCTAAAGCATATATGCTCAAAAAACTTAGCAGAATTAAACAAAGCACAAACCTGTCTACTTTCATCAGAAAACATTCCAGTGACACCATGAGACATGTTAGCAGCACAATACTGCCAACTACTGTAATGATAATTTCCATTCACAGATTGGCACGTCATCGCAGTTTGGGGAGGTGATTTGTTGAAACAAAGTTTTGAGTCGTGGTGTTAAAAACAAAATAGCTGTGGATTTCCAGTACTGCTGCTTCTTGGTCATTTTCTTATGTTTATGGTAGGGCTGCAGTAAGAAAATATGCAGATATATTAGTAATTTTAAGCTGTTTATTGTAAAACTGAAGTGATGCATTCTGGGTAGCCTACAGGATGAACAGGAACTCGTTAATTTCAAAATACGAGCGTGAATTTATTCTGTTTTGTGTGAGCTTCAATTCAACGTTAGACAGTGGGTTGGTAAAGATGCAGTGGGACATAAATTATAATTCCTCCCTCTATTTTCCCAAAGCTCATAAAGGTTTATAAACAACGATATTGATGGCTGGATAGTGCCCTAATTCAGTGATTCCCAACCAGGGGTACGTGTACTCTTTGCGGTACGCGAGTATATTACAGGTGGGGTACGTGGAACAATTTCCCAGGTGTGTAAAAAATAAATGAAAATAGGACTGAGATTTGTAGGGCCCTGTGATTTGGGCAATGCAGAAAATGTAAACGGAATCAAGAAATTGGTCACATGTTGGTGTGTCTCACCTGTCTGCCACCAGGTGTCCACCAGTGGGCAGCGTCCCTCCCCCACCACACTGTGGAACCAGTGCCATGCCTCATGGTTTATTGGCTCCCCCACTATGAAGACAAAAAAAAAAGATTGACACAAAGCAACCCCCATGAAGCCATCATGCTACACTGACGCACAGATTTTCACACATTGTGATGTCTGGAACAGTTTCTGTTGAAGATCGTTAAGAAAATGCTGCACAACAAAAACTCTGAGCTACCCAACAGACAAAGAGTCAAATCAGTCGACCTTAATAAACAAACTGAAAAACCCAACAATAATAGATTTATCAACACATTGCATTTTTCTGTCTTTTATGATGATAATAAAGATGATAAATGAGGATTTGGTTAAATACAGTAATTAAAACTTGTTTTTAGGTTGTTTCATCAGCTTCTAAAGACAGAGTTTTGGGTTTGGGTTTTCTTTGCCACCTCAAAGATAAAAAAATCTTTGTCTTCTTTCAGCTATTTCCTTTAGAGGTCACCTCAGAGACCATTGGACTCATCTCCTGTCTCTTTTACTATTACAGCATCTGTCTTTATGTCCTCCTTCATTACGTCCACAAATCTTCACTGAGGTCTTCACCTGCTTCCTGACAGCGCCGTCTCTAACATCATTTATCCAACATGGCCACTATCTCCTTACTACATGGTTAAACCTGCTCAACATGGCCTTTCTGTCAGGTGACATGCTCCAGTGTGTGTGCCTCCTGAGGCGGGGACACTGCACTCAAAATACAGAGAAAGTTTATTAAACACAAGCCTGCTTCCCAGGACAGACAAAACATCAGCTTAGCTGGCATAGGTCATCAAAAAAACTCAGGAACTGCAACAAGGTGATTCACAAAAATACTTGAAAGGCTACTCATGACAGGACCCAACAAGAGACAATGCACCGACAGTAAGACAGACACAGAACAGATACACAAAGGACTGATTAGAAGAAGTGGAAACACTTGGGGAGATGAGAGAGCAGCGCAATGGGCCTCATGCAAGAACCGTTCGTACGCACAGATTTGTTCTTAAGTTGTGCGTACGAGTGATTTAGGAGAATTTGTGACATTCACCAATGTTTTCATATTCTAAGATTTTTTTCAGATCTGAACAAAATTCAGGAGTGGTCCAGACCTGTCGTATATTTTACCAGCAGTCAGTCTGCTGTTATCCAGACGGGTTTTCTTCACTAATAACTTTATATTTCATTAGTTTGAAGATATTTAGAGTTTAAAGTAAATCACACTCCATAATTATGTTGACAATAGGCTATTCTGCTTGAATTAGAGTTATAATTTTATGTAGACTAACAACATAAACTGTTTAAATTAAAATGAATTGGCTATTAATTTTGTTGTATAGCACTACATTTTTAATATGAAGTTAATTGAAGTTTTGAGACATTTTAAAATGTTTTTTTTCTGAAACACATCTGTCTGGTGACGAGAACAGAAGTTCAATAACAAAACATCGCTCGGGTTTAGACCGGGGTGGCGGGGTGGGGGTGGGGGGGTCCTCCCAATCACACCTCTCCAGGTCCATTATCGTGCTCTCCAGCACCCCCTCCAAGGACTCCAGAAAGGGTGGGTAATCTGAACTGCTTTTAGCCTCATAGGCACAAACAGTCAGGACCCGTCCCCCCACCTGTAAGCGGAGGGAGGCTACCCTCTCGGTCACCAGGGTGAACCCCAACGTACAGGTGCCAAGATGGGGGCCAATAAGTCACCCACTCACCCACTCCTGCTCGGTGTCTCTCAGCATGGACAACTCCAGAGTGGAAGAGTGTCCAACCCCTCTGGAGGAGACTGTTCGAACACTGCCTGATACACATTGCACCTGACCCCTACGACCCCTACGGCCCCTACTACAGGTGGTGAGCCCATGGGAAGGGCTCCTCTTTGGTTGTTCCTGCCGGGCTCCATGGGTAAGAACCCGACCACCAGGTGCTTGCCAATGTGCCCCACCTCCAGGCCTGGCTCCAGAGTGGGGCCCCGGTGACCGGCATCCAGGCGAGGGAACACTAGATCCATTAGTTGTATCCATCATAGGGGTCTTTGGGCTGGACTTTGTCTGATCCCTCACCTAGGACCTGTTTGCCTTGGGTGACCCTGCTGGGGGCACGAAGCCCCCGACAACATAGCTCCTAGGATCACTGGGACATTCAAACCTCTCCACCACGATAAGGTGGCAGCCCAGGGAGAGGGCTGTCACCTTATGGTGATAACTAGAAATTAACATAATATTTTATGCTAATTAATACAGATAATTTTATTGTTCAAAATATTAGATTTTCTAATCTCTTTGTTAAAACTTGACAATTACAGTAAAAAATAAAAACAGGGACATTTGAAGTTGTTTTTAAGTTTTAGTGGTCAAATTAAAAACACAGTACTTTTGTGCAATTATTGGCACCATGAAGCAGATGATGTGGATGTAATTACCTCCATGTGATTTTCACAATTATGTTGCAATTTTAAACTATTTTTAAAACATTTTACTGGTGAAATCAATGAATATTTGCTTTTTTTGTGTGTTCAACTACATATGAAGCAGATGAGATGTGGGTTCATGCATGCTGATGACACCCTGCTGGTACAATTACTCTTAAACCCATAGAACCAAAGTTCAGCTTCATGGTTTGCGGTTTATGATGTCAAATGTTTGGTTCTCATGTCCCACCTGATCCGAGCATCCTAAGAGATGACCGGTCGTACTTCTTCACCCAACTCTCATCGTACTTCAGCAGCAAACGCAGAGCCGTGGGAGCACCATAGAACTGGTTTATCCTTAGGCGTTCAACCATCTCCCAGTACCTGCCTGAACAACAAGACACAAGAAAGAACACGTTGTGCGTTTTAGGTGTCATGTGTAGAAATGTCTTTCCTTTTTGACATTGTAATACAAAATATCTTTGTGAGCTGTTCATACCCTGTAATGGGCCAGTAGGTTTTGGCATGTTGTATTGACCCAGTGACATCAGGTTTATTGTGATGAAGCTGTTCTTTTTGTTTCTCAATAGGTCTGAATGTTTTTGGCCAGGACACAGTCTGCTGTAATTATCACTGTGATTTTTATTTGGGCCCAGTACAGAACCCAGAATGAAGTCATTGTCTTTTAAGATAACATCTGTATGTTAAACAGTATACACACCATTACAACTGCCTAGACACACACACCTTGAGCTGAACAGGTTCTGTGTTCTGTGTCCTGTTTGTTCCAATAAATAAACCCAGATGACCGTCTACAAAGCAACTTTATTCTTTAAATCACACATTTCTGTTCCTTGTTAAATAAATATTTTCTGCAACAACATAACTTTCTGAACTCTGCACCTTCTGCACCGAGAATCCAAACCCAAGCATGCCAAGACCACATCCCAAAGAGTTAACAGGTAAAACAGGTAACATCACCTGCTGAGGAAGGGGGGATACCATTTGAACCAATCAGAGCTCAAATGAAGCAGAAAAAGCAAGTAGTGGCTTCATCTCTTCAACTGCAGGTGATAAACTTAACAACATTACTAAGTAACTGAATGATAAACAGACATCAGAGAAGCTGACAGCTCTTCCTCTGAGCATCCAACTGCTTCCTGCCTCAGGTCAGACACTCCTGAGACACCAAATAAAACATAAACAATTCTTCTTTTTACCTGGATTTCCTGCACTATAAAAAACTTTTTGTTTTGTCTCATTAGCTTCATGTGTTCAAATTTACCCTTTTCAAACTGGAACACATTTAAATGAAAATGTAACAGAAGCAATAAAGAAATAAGCAAAGTAAAATCAACATGTTTGATCTAAAACCTGACTCCAGTTCAGTTTGAGTTTCTGATGATCAATGAAACAAAACTTCCTCCAGCTGAACACAAACAAAACTGAAGTTATTGTCTTTGGAGCTAAAGAGGGACAGTCAACGCACAGCTTCAGCTGCTACAGCTAAAAACCAGCAGTCAGGCCTGAAATCTGGGTGTAGTGATGAACTCTGACCTGAACCTTCAGAGCCACATGAAGACAGTTAAAACGTGAGCCTCAAACCACCTGAAGAACATTTCCAGGATTAGAAAGTTAATGTCTCAGCAAGATCTAGATAAACTTATCCATGTGTTTATCTTTAGTCGCAGTGATCCCTGTAACAGTGTCTGCCTGAACATCCATCAGACAGCAGCAGCTGATCCAGAACACTTCTGCTCGCATTTTGACCAAAACCAGGAGGACAGAGCACATCAGCCCAAAGTCCTTACACCAACTCCCTGTAACTCAGAGAGAAGACTTTAAAATACTGTTATTAGTTTAGAAATAACTTAACGGCTCTTAGCACCACAATAATACAATAAAAATATGCTGTTGTTGTATCAACCTTCCAGACTTCTCAGGTCTTCTGGTTCTGGTCTGCTCTGCATCCCCAGAACCAGAACCAAACATGGAGAAGCAGCATTCAGCTTTTATGCACCGCAAATCTGGAACAAATTCCCAGAAAACTGTAAAAAAACTGAAACTCTGATCCTTTAAATCAAGACTGAAAACCCACCTGTTTAGTGTTACTTATAAAACATTATAAATGAAAGATTAATCAACATTTTGATGTGTAACAATATCACCTGACAAACTGGAATGATTCACTTGTTAACTGTATTTGAAGATTTTGTATTTTTTGTGTTTTTGTGCTGAAAAACACTTTGAGCTGCCTTGTTGCTGAAATGTCCCTTATAAATAAACTTGACTGATTGATTGAAAACAAAACGAAACAACAAGGTTTCTAAAGAGATTTTCAGGTTTAACATCTACAGAGATGTCAACCATATCAAGAGATGGTGCCAGGTCCTATGGGTCTGATGGTAACCCTGTCCAGACTCCTCTGGGTTCTATCTGAGTCAGACCATGACACATCAGAAACCTGGATTCAACATCTTTGTTGGAAGAAATAAATCAATAAGAAAATGGGACTGTTGTCAACAACAAGCCCTAAAAGTCCAGTTCTGTGACAGTCTGGGGTGGTTCTGAGTTTGGATCAAAGTTCTGTGATGGTTCTGAGCAGAACCTGGGTTTTGTGATGTAAAACCACTTTCTGCTTACATTTCAAAGACTAAAGAAGAAGAGGGGACAGATTCTGGACTTGTCTGCCTGCTGTCCTGACCCTGTACTGTCGGACCACCTTAAGAGAAAACAAGACCTGCAACTCTTCCTTGCTTGATCTTCTCATCATCAGAACCTCTGTAGATGTGGGGAAAATAACTGAATGTTCCAAAGTAGGAAGAACCTGGAACTGGACTGTGTTACAGCCTGAAAGGGTTTGAACATGTTTAAACTGTTTGACAGGAAATAAATCCCAGAGAAAAAACACTGAAGGTTTTCAAAAGTCACTTTTATTGTAGTTCACCAACAACACAAAACGGTTGCAGGTGTTTTGCTGGTGAAACACATCTTTTATTAACTCACTGCAGCTGAACTAAAGTCAACAACAAAGAAGTATTTCTGGTTTAGTAAAAACTCAGAAATAGTTAACCTTGTCTTTAGAGAAACTGGAGTTTTATGAACCATAAAGAGAAGTAAATTAAACTCAGGGTCTGCCCCTAGGGTAACAGTCTCCTCACATTTAAAAATCCCAACAAATATATAACATCCATCCAGAGGCAAGAAGGGAAGAAAAATGTAAAACTCTTAAAGTCCGTCTGTCCGTACAGTTTCTTCCTCTTATCCAGGGTCAGGTCTTGGGGGCAGCAGCCTCAGCAGAGACCCAGACTTCCCTCTCTCCAGACACTTGGACCAGCTCCTCTGGGGGAATCCCAAGGTGTTCCCAGCTGAGAAACATAGTCCCTCCAGCGTGTCCTGGGTCTTCCTCTGGGTCTCCTCCCAGTGGGACGTGTCCAGAACACCTCACCAGGGAGGAGTCCAGGAGGCATCCTGACCAGATGAACCACCTCAACTGGCTCCTCTGGACGTGGAGGAGCAGCGGCTCTACTCTGAGTCCCTCCTGGATGACTGAGCTTCTCAGCCTATCTCTAAGGGAGAGCCCAGCCACCCTGCAGAGGAAACTCATTTCAGCTGCTTGGATCTGTCAACTCCTTCTTTCCGTCACTACCCAAAGCTCCTGACCATAGATGAGGGTAGGAACGTAGCGCGTAACGTACAGTGCCTGCAGCACCATTCTTCCTGTTGATTTCCCGCTCCATTCTTCACTCATTCGTGAGCAAGACCCCGAGATATTTAAACTCCTCCACTTGGGGCAGGACCTCCTCCCTGACCTGGAGAAGACAGCCTTCCCTTTTCTGGCTCAAGACCATAGTCTTGGATTTGGAGGCACTGATCCTCATCCCGGCCGCYTCACACTCGGCTGCGAACCGCTTCATGAGAGCTGGAGATCAGGATCTGATGAAGCCAATAGGACCAAGTCATCTGCAAAAAGCGGATCCTAATGTCACCAAAACGGATCCCCTCAACACCTTGGCTGTTCCTAGAAATTCTGTCCATAAAAGTTATGAACAGAATCGGTGACAAAGGTCAACCTTGGTGGAGTCCAACTCTCACCGGAAACAAGTCTGACTTACTACCGGCAATGTGGACCAAGCTCTGGCACCAATCGTACAGGGACCTTACAGCCCGTATCAGTGGGCCTGGTACCCCATACTCCCGGAGTACCCCCCACAGGAGTCCCCATGGGACACGGTCAAACGCCTTCTCCAAGTCCACAAAACACATGTAGACTGGTTGAGCAAACTCCAGAACCCTGCTGAGGGTGTAGAGTTGATCCGTTGTTCCACAAGCAGGACAAAAACCACAACTGAATCTGAGATTTGACTATCCGACAGATCCTCCTCTCCAGGACCCCTGAATAGACCTTACCAGGGAGGCTCAGAAGTGTGATCCCCCTATAGTTGGAACACACTCTGCGGTCCGGTCTGCCAATCCGGAGGAACTTTCCATCTCAATGGTAAGATACTATTATTTATTTTCCCTCAGTCAGCCTTTCTGGTACTAAAAACTCAGTTTCTCCTAAATTAACACAGATTATAAACTCAGAGTTTGTTAAACCTCTATTCTGGAGTTTTCCAGCAGATGTGTGAACTCTCTCTCTGTATCACAGTAGTGTCTGTAGGTGAACCACAGGTGTACTGTAGGTGTCTGTTTGGGTCACACTCACCTGGGTTTGGATACACAGGTGTGCTCTCAAACAGAACAGTTGTGGCACCATTACACAATGGGCCATACACCACATAGCTGTGTCCAGTTATCCAACCAATGTCAGCGACACAGCCGAACACGTCGCCTTCCCGATAATCAAACACATACTGAAAACAACAACAGCCATCACAAAAACAAGAATAACACCAACCATAATAACTTAAACAACACACAATCGAACCGAGTCTACTGGACTATCAGGTGTGAATATGATGTGTTATTTGAGTCTTTGTTTGCCTGTATTAACAAAAAGGTGTTTTGCTGTTGGAAGCAAAATGGCTTCAACTATAGAACACAAGTCCAGCTGTCTGTTTATTTATTTTATTTTAGTCTTTACCTTTAACATATTGTTCAATTTCCTTTAACTTTATGCATAACTTCTGAGACATAGAGAAGTACCTGATGAGTCATGGAGGAGTAGAGCAGATAACCAGCCTGGGTGTGGACAAGTCCTTTAGGTTTTCCTGTGCTGCCAGATGTGTAGAGCAGGAAAAGAAGATCTTCACTGTTCAGAGGCTCTGGGGGACAAACAGCAGGCTCAGAGGACATCACCTGGAGGACAACCAGGAGGATGTTACTGTTAGAAGTACCAGAACATTTGTTCAAACATTGGGTATGCATTGACAATCTATGGATCACTAATAAGAAGAGAGAAGACCAGAAGCGTGTAGTTGAGGCTATAAGTGTCTACTACTAGACTGTCTCTAGCATAAGTTTGTAAGTCCCACCCATCCATGTAAACCAGTGGGATATTTTCCTGATATGATTGTGGCTTTTAATTTGCTTCTGATTGTTCAAATATAAATGTTTAGTTTAATCAGTTATTTTTATTTTAAGACAGAGAATGAAGAAAGTTCTGCCTGGAGTAACCTCTCTATTGTGGACATGTCTCCCAATCATTTCTACTGTTTCACAGATGGATCCCTCCTGTTAGGGCCAGCAGGTGCAGGGGTGCTGATTTTGCACAACCATAGTGAGCGAGATTATAAATACCCACCTGGGGTCAGATTTATAAAGGATTGCGTGGAAACATACTAAAAATGAACGTACGGCCAAAAGGCGGAAATGGCGTATGCCAAAAAAAATTCAGATTTATAAAACGGTACGTACGCATGTTTCTGCGCATTTTTCCTTTATAAATTACAGCCGCACGTCAGAGTTTGTGCACGATGTCCCTCCTCAGGTTCTACCCTCTACACGCCCACACTCAACCATAAACAGTCAATGTAAAGTACCTCATGAATGTTAAGATGTATTTAAATCAGTCAGCTAATCAGTGATTGGTTCAGACACACTCCTTCATGTTTCTGGAGGAGGACAGGTGCTGACTGACAGCTGCTCACCTGAGTAGAATGTAACTGACACAGATTTTCCCTCATTTTGTTGGTTTACAGATGTTTAGAGTAATCTAATGTTTTTTAACAAAAACTCAACTTCAAATTAATTTTCTCTCAGAGCCTGCAGGACGATAAAAACAATAAATAAAATAAAATAAGTCAGATAAAGTTCACAGCTCTTCTCCCCTCTCCTCGCCCTCTCTGCTCTATTATCACCCCCCCACACACACATTCCCACAGCCACCCCACCCCTGCGCGCCACAAATACAGTTTTTAAAAAGTGAACTTTTTATAACATTCACACTGGTGAGGGTGGGCGCGTCCTGCGCGTGTACCCAAAGCGTGACTTTTGCTGTCGTTCTGTTGAAATGTCTGTTGTCGGGGAGGGGTCTGTGTGTCAGGGAGGGGTCTGTGGGTCAGGGAGGGGTCTGTGGGTCAGGGTCATCTGAGGAGGAAGCAGATGAATGGATGCTTGAACTTAAGTTTTTTTTATTTCAAAGGTCCTTATGGCTCAGCAGCAGAAGCATAAATAATGATGTTAAGAAAGCTGATGATAAAGCTGAATAAAAATCCAAGTCTGATTCTGAAGGTAAATTAAATATCTGACAGTGATCATTACACAGTGTGGCTCTAATTCTTCACTTCACCATCTGTGTCTCAGTTTCTTGTCTCCAAAATGAGCGTACGCATGGGTCAGAGCTGTGAGGCTCTGCACATTTTCAGATCAAGTTTGGATTTTATAAACCACAACCTTGGCGTGAAAAGTGGCGTACGCAAGTTTCTGGGCTCATATTGTGCGTACGCCAGTTTTATAAATCTGACACCAGAGCCTGTTGTAGGTACCTCTTTTTTTAGATAGACAAGAAAGAAGAAGAAAGAAAGGAAAAAAGAAGGAAAGGAAAGAAAAGTTACAATGTAATGGAAAAAAATGAAAGAAAGAATTGATGATATGTGAGATATACATCAAGAAAACAACACAATCCATCCAACATCTGTCTGCACACCTGCAAAGAATTAAGGTTACAAAACTTAGCAAAAGCATACAGATATACATTCAGACAGATAAACAAACACCCACCTGTATATACCTGATGATCATTCAGAACCCCTCGGATCTGAACACTTGTCTGCGTGCGGTTGTGAGCAAGCATAAATTTACAGGATTTCTCCAACAGAATGTATAATAGTGACTGTGGGGGAGTCTCAGAGCCAACCCCCAAGGCACGAGGCAGACATAATGGGAGGCCAGAGCCAACGACCCCAGGAGGAACCCCAAGCATTGGACCCCTGGGTACACATTCGCGAGGAGAGCCGCACATCCACCCCCAGGTCAAACCATAGGGGAGACCCAGGAGAACCCCACCAGCGACCACACGCAGCAGCCCCACAGCGGCCCGCAGCGACGAGCACGCAGGCCCCCGCCACCCCCCCCACGCTAGGGCAAGCACGGGCATAGGCACAGACAGCCCGGCCCCCAGGGCCCCCCCCAAGCCGAGACCCTACAGGGCCAGAGGACCCAAGCCCCGACAGGCAACCACCAGGCCGAGCCAGCACACACCCGAGCACCCAGCCCCAGCCCCCAAGAGCCATCCCCGTGCCGGCGGGCAAGGCACCCCCACCAGAGGGCGGTATGGGATGGGGGCAACAAACGAACCAGGCGAGGGGTAAGTCCACATCCCAGCCTGACACATACCCACGCATACACAAACACAATCATACAATCCCACCCTCGTCCTCACACCCACTCATTCAAAGACATACAATATAGACGCCACACTCCATTCACACTCCCAATACACACTCTATACCCCCCAGGTCCAGGGTATGCCCCCGCCCCCCGCAGAGGGCGGCCCACACCCGAACCCAGGAGGTAAACCCATTTGTCCTGGGGTGGAGAGGAGCAGACGGCCAAGTCCCGGCCTGGACCGCGCCGACCCGACCAGCCACCCCCGCCCCAGCAAGGTCACACCCCGACTATCCCCCAACCACCGCCAACGGCCAGGGGTACAGCCCCAGCCGACACCTGCCGGAGCCCGGCGACCACTCCGGCCAGCGGGCCGACCACACCAACCAGGAGCCACATCCCCAGAGTGCATGCAGCTCCAGAGAAGCCAGAGTGCAAGCCCGCCCCCGTGCCCCCAAGCTTCCAGTCCACATCAGTCCAGGCCCCCACCCGGTGGTGTGTCCCCACCAAGGTCCCACCCCCAGACGTCAGTCGGGAAACGGGGGAGTGAGAAATAAATAAATAAATAAAAGAAGACCCCGACACACACACACCCTCCCTCAAATGTGCTATTGACGTTGTTCTATAGTGTAGTTAAAAGGACAGGAAGAAGGGCCAGAGGCTGGGGGGATGCCAGTTTTCCCCCCACCCCAACCCCTAAGTGTCTACGTGCAGCTATTGGGGAAGGGCACAGATATCGGTGGTCATAGAGTGCCCCCCCCAACTCCCACCAAGCTGTCAGCGATGAGCTGATATTGATGCTTTTGTAGGTACTTCAACAACAGTCTGTAGGACTGCCCTACAGGCCTGGATTAGATGTCAACACTCAATCCTCTGGAGGGAGCTGACGGACTGTAGACAGGCACGGGAACTGATTAACAGCCCAAATCTAAGGTTTGGGAAAGCGCTCATCTCCCTGTCAAAGAAAACTCTAATTACACTGGTTGGAGTCCTAACTGGGCACAATCTGCTCAACAGCTACAAAATGGCGATGAGACTCCATGACAATGGTCTGTGTGATGCCTGTGGCATTGAACTACAGACCTCTTTACTCTACTTAGGCCACTGCCTGGCTCTGAACACTCTAAGGAAAATAATTCTTGGAGACCCCTTTATGGATCCTGAGAAGCTCAGAACACTGAGTGTTTCTAACCTGGTGTCCTTCATCCGAGGGTCGAGAAGGTTTGAATAAGACCAGTGTCTTTTTGGGGAGAGCAATGAGCCCACTCATATGGGTTCTTTCTCCATCCCCACTCACCAAACCAAACCTATTCATTTATTTTATGTGTAAAGAAAAGTGTCACATTACACTGTGATTGACAGCCTGTTAGCATGTTGGGAGGGTTGTGTAGGTGGGACTTTTTATTGACGGTGCAGTCCTAAGTTCTGAATGGCTCTGGCTCTAAAAATACAACATGCCAGCTCTCAAAAAACCCACTGATATTTTGGCTTTAATTCTGGACAAGAGACAGCAGTGCCACTTCATCTACCTTTATTAATGTTGATGGCATTGATTAATGATCAAGAGTGTTGGTAAGTTAATAATCAACGGGACTGGAAATGAATTGATCAGGTGTGTTACTGTGATGTTGATCATGTGACCCACCTCCTCCAGAGGAACGTCCAGCTCCCTCATCACTACAGGATTTTCAGTCCGCTGGGAGACAAAGACATGTTGGACAGATGAACAGGTTTTCACTGCAGCATCCACTGTAGCTTTGAGCTCGATGAGTCGGCCTCCTCTCACACCTTGATTACAGGTAATAACAGCTTTGCACTGAGCTGTAATATAACACACGGAGGACAGTGGGTTGGATCTCACAGGGATGATGTAGTGTTCAGAAGCTGCAACAAAAAGTGATGTCCCTCAAGGACTCAAAATTGGTTCTTTTCTTTTTGTTTCACCGTAAGCCCAATCACACACAGTAATAACATTAACGTACAATTTTAATTAATAAATTAAATTATTACATATGTTTATAATTTTACTTTGACTACATTTCTTTACCTTCTATTATGAACCAAACAGAAAAGAACATTCAGAAAATGACTTGAATGAAGGCGAATCAAGAAGAACTGAACTTCAGTGTTCCTCCGGTCACTCCAGAAACCTGCAGTTTGATTGTTTGACTTCCAGACCAGTTTAGGTATTTGGACTGTGGACCCAGTAACAATGCAATAAAGCTGTTGGGACACTTGGTGATAAAATCACACTTGATCACTAAACAAACATCTTAAAGTTTCTGCAGAGGGAAGCAGATCCACTGAGGGATTGGTTTTTGATCAGACCGTTCACTAGAACTGAATCTGAGGATGTTATTGATAAAGTCCAGTAATGGATATCAGGGTTCAGCATGTTTTTAACAGGACTGATTTTTAAACAGAAATTTATCTTCACTTCACTCCATTTCTCCCTAAAATGTCTTAATATATTGATTCCTTCATACCTGAGATATAATACATATTCTAGCCACGGCAGCTACACCCCGTCAGTGTTTCTATCACTGTTTACAGGATTTTTTTCCCTTTATGGACTTCATTCATCAGATAACCTGTTACTTTAACACTGCACAGTTTAACTAATTTAAACCCAAACTTAATAAAGAAAATAATACATTCTGATATATATTAGATGATAGACTCTCAAAAGTCTTTACATAATTTGTTTCTCAAACCCAAGAGAGTAAAAATACATAAGGAACAGCACATGTTTCTCATGAAAGGGCTAAATGATTTGCAGGTAAAACAAGACATTTTAACAATAGTGTACAACTCATCCAGCCAGTTCTTACATTTAGTATCTCTTCATGGTTTAACTTTCTTATAGAAAAGAACAAGAAATAACTCAACAAAGTCATCAAACAGGCAGATAAACTTATTAATATCCTTCAAATGCATCTCACAGAACTTTACAGTTGTGCGGTTCAAAGGAGAGCAAACTGTATCCCCGAGGACCCTTTACACCCCCTCATCAGTCATTTCAACCTGCACCTTCAGGTAAACATTTTATAGTAGCCCTGGCCAAGAAAAAAAGACTTAAAAAACTCTTATTCCCACCGCAATCAACCTTTTCAGTAAAGGAAATAAGTTTAAGATTTGCAGATGGTTATAGGTTATGATTTTATGAGTAGGTAGACTTTTTGGTATTTTATAATTGTATGATTTTATATTTATAGAGTTTATATGATTTTGGGCAGCACGATGGAGATTTTAATAACTTGTCAACCAAATCACACATCCTAACTGACACATATTCTGCCACACCGCCCACTGCTGCTGTCCTAACATTTTGAAACATAAGATTACAAACTGTTAAAAATGAACCATTTGGGACATTTTTCTTTCCTAAATCTGTTGTTTTGTGTTGAATTCAAAGCTTTGTGTTTGTTTGCATCGAGCAGTAGAGCACCTGGAGTCATTGCTTCTGGCTGCCTGCTGCCTGGTTGATGAACGAAACGTGAGAACCTGGAGAATGACTCACAATCCTGGATGCGTCCTGCCAGTGCCTCAGAGCTGAATCCAGCAAACACCACAGTGTGCACAGCACCAATTCGAGCACATGCCAACATGGCAGCCACAGCCAGTGGTGACACAGGCATGTAGATGGCCACTCTGTCTCCTTTGTGAATCCCATGGCTCTTCAGGGTGTTGGCCAGTCGGCAGGTGGTCTCCAGCAGCTCTCTGATGGATGAACATGATGACGGGCAGGAGTCAGTTTATACCAAATTATAACAGGAATTTATGAGCAACCAGTGGCTCAGTTGGTAAAGATGATGCCTTTCAGCAAAAAGGTTGCTGGATCAAATCCCGGCCCAGGGGCCTTTCTGGGTAGTTTGCGTGTTCTCTCTGTGCATGTGTGGGTTTTCTCCGGGTACTCCAGCTTCCTCCCACAGACCAAAAACATGACTGTTATGTTAATTGATAACTCTAAATTGTTTCTAGGTGTGAGTGAGAGAGTGAATGGTTGTTTGTCTCTATGTGGTACTGGGATGGACTGGAGACCTGTCCAGGGTGTACCCCGCCCCTCACTGTGACTGCTGGATATGGGCACCAGTGATCCAGAAAGAAGAAGTGGGTATAGATCAGTGGTGGGCATTCCTGGTTCTTGAGGTCCGCAGCCCTGCATGTTTAGTTTCTCTGCTCCAACACACCTGATTTGAATGAATGTGTAATAATCAGGCTTCTGTAGAACTGGGAAGAGGTAATTCAACGTGAATCAGCTGTGTTGGAGCAGGGAAACAAGAAAACGAGCAGGGCTGCGGCCCTCGAGGACCAGGATTGGCCACTCCTGGTATGGATAATGGATGGATAACAAGAATTTAACATTGTGATATTATAAACTGAAGAGATAAACTACAGTCAGGCTGAGATAAGATGATCTGATATGTTAGTGGAAAGAGTTAGAATGTGTTCCTTTTACTGTATATTTTAACACGGACGGAGCCATTTTATTTGCACACAAAGCATTCTGGGTAAATGATGACGTGGATAGGTCCTCGGTGCGAGGCTGCTAGCGAGCTATATCCACCCTGAAGGTTAATCTTGGACAATATCTGATGATCGACTCTTTTAAATGAAACCAGAGAGCGTTGACAGAGAGGAGAAGGTAGAAATGACTCAGCCTGGAACTGAAAATATGGATGGAGGACAACAGAGCTGCTTCATGGAAGAACAACCTCAGATTAGCCTGTTAGCCTTTGTGCTAGCACTGACACTATATTGCCTTATTTGTATTAGCTCGGTGCTAGCGCGACAAACAAGCTAACCTGTTGTCCTCCATCCATATTTTCAGTTCCAGGCTGAGTCATTTCTACCTTCTCCTCTCTGTCAACGCTCTCTGGTTTCATTTAAAAGAGTCGATCATCAGATATTGTCCAAGATTAACCTTCAGGGTGGATATAGCTCGCTAGCAGCCTCGCACCGAGGACCTATCCACGTCATCATTTACCCAGAATGCTTTGTGTGGAAATAAAATGGCYCCATCYGTGTWAWAWWWTWKTWWAMWWTYWKT